ACTGGTGTGAGGTGGCATCTCATTGTGGTTTTGATTTGTATTTCCCTGATGGCCAGTGATGCGGAGCATTTTCTCATGTGCTTGTTGGCCATATGTAGGTCTTCTTTGGTGAAATTTCTGTTTATGTCTTTTGCCCATTTCATGATTGAATTGTTTGTTTCTTTACTGTTGAGTTTAATAAGTTCTTTATAGATCTTGGATACTAGCCCTTTATCTGATATGCCATTTGCAAATATCTTCTCCCATTCTGTAGATTGTCTGTTAGTTTTGTTGACTGTTTCTTTTGTGGTGCAGAAGGTTTTTATCTTGATTAAGTCCCAATAATTTATTTTTGCTTTTGTTTCCCTTGCCTTCATGGATGTATCTTGCAAGAAGTTGCTGTGGCCAAGTTCAAAAAGGATGTTGCCTGTGTTCTCCTCTAGGATTTTGATGGATTCTTATCTCAAATTTAGATTTTTCAACCATTTTGAGTTTATCTTTGTGTGTGGTGTAAGAGAATGGTCTAGTTTCATTCTTCTGCACGTGGCTGTCCAATTTTCCCAGCACCATTTATTGAAGAGACTGTCCTTTTTCCAGTGGATAGTCTTTCCTGCTTTGTCGAATATTAGTTGACCATAGAGCTGAGGACCCATTTCTGGGTTCTCTATTCTGTTCCATTGATTTATGTGTCTGCCTTTGTGCCAGAATCACACTATCTTGATGATCACAGCTTTGTAGTACAACTTGAAATCCAGCATTGTGATGCCCCCCAGCTCTGGTTTTCTTTTTCAATATTCCCCTGGCTATTTGGGGTCTTTGGGCAGTTATTTTCAAGAGATACTTTGATCATGGAAACATTTTAAAAATTCATTTGAATAAATCAATTATATTATGTCTATTAAAACCGCAGTTAAGTACTGTATTAGGAGATATAATTGGTTTATAAAGGAATATTTGGTCTGCCCATTCTTTTTTTTTTTTTTTTCTTGCCATGCCCTAGGTGTAAATCCAAAGTGAAATGTACGTGGCAGAAGAGAAAACTATTCAGTATAGTTAGTGGATCATGGTATTAAAGCCAAGTATTTACAAGTAAAAGGAATGAGGTCCATGGCACTGGTAATGGGATTTAAATGGATTTAGGAACTAAGGCTGAAATAAGAGCCTAATTAGAGAAGATCCTTGGGTCATCATGTCAGTCCTCACCTGTCTGTCAGGCAGACAGACTGTCCACAGCTTTCACTTCAAAAGATGTGGCATGTTCTTCTCATCAGTGTCTCTTGCCTGCCAGTTCTCGAGGGAGAAGTTGCCTTGGCTGCCCCTTGCAAGTCACGTGTCTGCAGCAGTGCACTTAGTGGGGTCCAGAAATTCAGCTTACATCTTGTCTCCAAAAAGACTACTAAAAATTTAGAATATGGGATTTGATGGTTTTCTTAAAAAGAGATGTGAAAACTAAATAATATTGGATAAATTGTCTCTGCTAGCATTTTCCTGATTTTAATTGCCCTTTTAAAAATAAGAAGAAAGGACCTGAAGATAGAATAAAATGACTGTTTTCCATTGATGCGAGAGCCATACTTATAATGTGTCTTTTGTACCTGTTCTTTTTTTTTTTTTTTTTTTTGCATTTACTCTTAAAATCTAAGTGATTAAGCATTTATCAAGGGGGATCTCTGTTCCTTTTCTCTTTGTAGTTCACTTTGGGATTTTCTAGAGGACAAATTGGCATCTTTATCTTACTTTGGTTCCTCAGGTGGAGTTTGTTAGTTATGGAAGCTGGGCCCCCAGAGTAGGTGGCATCTGAAGCTAAATGAGGAAAGGTAAGATAGGGATTGAGCTCAGCTGATGTCCGTGGCGGAGGGTCTGTGTCTGTCAACACATATGCCATAGTGAGTGTTACTGCAATTTGGCAAATTGGGACATTTGAGGATGTAGAGTTTTTTAACTTACTGTCTTTTCTTCTGATATCTCCCTTTGCTCCTACTGGCCTAGCTGTTACTTGTTGAAGGCTAGTGCTAGATGTGGGAATCCAGAGCTGGTGGGATAAGGACATGGAACACACATGGCGCTTATGTGACAGAGTCTAATGCAGTATGAAGATTATGCGCTATGGCAGTAGAATTTGTGTTCTTTCCTTTTTGAATCTATCCCAACAATATTTCCCATTACTTACTTAATTACTTGACTTGAGGCTTCAATGCTCAGAGGCGATTCCATTGGCTTTAGCTTTAATTAAGAAAAAAAAATCGTTAGGAAAGCAGATTCTCCCTTCCAGTTTCTCATTAATTTACAGATGAATTTGTTTTCTGCTAACTATCTATTGACAGTTTACTCCAGACTTTGGCTAAATGTTAGTTTGGGCCTTATAAAAATAATCTGGATTTAAAAGTTACCATCACAGGATTTTTGTTCTATCTCTTTTTAACTGACTGGACTTCTTGGTGTTCACTACATAAAATACAGTTTGTCCCATCAGGAATCAAATGTGAAAGCATTCAAAGGATTACTCAGTGATCTCAAAAATTTGAAATTCGAGAATATGGGTGTTACTTTTTTTCTTCAACCACTATATCCAATTTCTGTGTTTTCTTTTAAATGCACAGTATCAGACAACTCTTTTTTCTTATTAAATGCAAGTAGTATTTGATCTTTAAAACTTCTCAATATGCAAGTGGAGTTTTAAATTATTTTAGTATCTTGAATGAGGAGATACTGATAAATTTGGGTCTGAAGACTGATGTTTGCAATATGCTGCAAACAGATGTCATGAGTATATAAGACAAGTGAGACAAAGCACTTTCATATTTACATATTACAGTGGGTGCCAGTGCTCGTGGTAAGGTAGGAGCATCCTGTGGTGCATGTGCTACCATATAACATAGTGTGATCTAGCATCCAGAATATGCCCCTCTGCGCAGTTAGACCTGAGCTTTTTGTGGAGTTTAATTGACCCTTGCATACTGCAGTTATGGTGGTTTGCTGGTTTGTATGTGCATATCTATCTTAAAGAACAGCACAGAGCTATGACCTTACAGATGAATGGCACATCTACAATATCAAACACATGCATAGAGACAGTAGAAAACAAGGAACTCTGATGTTGGCACATATTGACTTAACCTCACAGTGTAAGTCCACTTTTGTAGAGCCAATGTGTTCATATGTTACAAGCTGATCTTGCTTTTAATGAAATCAAATGTATTATTGTCTGAATCAAATATTGGGGAGTTGCTATGAATCTCCTTGGAATGCTAGTGTCATTATCTCTACTCTGGCCCAGGATCCCAAGCTACATGGCCTGGCATCCCTCAGCAAATGGCCTGAGTGCTAAATAATTATTCTGGTGACGGAAGTGAGCCTTTAGTTCCTAAAGTTTATGGTCCCTTTATTCCCTTGTGGTGTCTTCTACTGATGGTTTGTTGTACTAATTCCATATATCTCATTAGAGTATTCCCAGTTAATTCTTATAATAAAGCCCTAACACCTTAGTTTGGTTTTCAAAGTCTGTATCTTTCCGAAGCTACTGCTCCCAACATTGTACCTAGGCAGATATTCTTATTTTCCTTTGATTTCTTTTTACCCCTGGTTTTCACTTTTGTTTCATCTAAAACACCTTCCCCTATATCTCTGTATGTCTAAATTTCTTTGATAAAGATCTTAAAAGTGGTTATCATTTTTGGTCCAGAAAATATATAAATATATAAAATGTATACACACATATATATACAAATGTAAATATGTATATATATATACACAATATATATATTATCACTGTATATATACTATTTATACAGTGTATATATCCTGTATATATAGTGTTGTATATATACACTATAAATATAGGATATATACACAATATAAACTATATTCACACTACACTGGCTAAATCACATAAAAGAATATTTAATGACATGGGAAAATTTTTCTAATTAAGTGGAAAGGAAAATTGAAAAATACTATGATTCTTTTCCTTTTTTCTGTGAGGAGACCTCTATAGGGAAATATATAGGGAAAATTTTCTGAAAGGTTCTACATTAATAGAATTGTTATAAGTTGATGGACCAGAGATAGTTTTATTTTGCCTTTCGATATTTTACATTTAGATAGTAAATCTGTTTTACTTTTGTAATAAGACGTGAATTGGTAAAACTTATTTGTAAAACATAAGGATACCTTACCCCATCCTTATATAAAATTTTGGAATATCTGAACTCCAAATTATGCCATGTTATTCTCACCATTACTCTTATATTCAGGTATGTTAAAGAATGTTTAATCAAAGTGATTAGTGCTAATATTGAAGATAATGCTAATTTTTAGTACAGTATATATTTTATGTTCCTTTCTATGGGCCTATGGACCTTTACTTTAGAAATCCTCAGACTACCAGTGCACTCATGTTTTCAATGATAATCCTTACTTCCACAAGTTGGGTCACACCTAAGATATTCATAATGAAAGAGAAGTTAAGATTTACTCTTCTTAAAGACCTGGGTGACATTTTGGGAATATTTTTGTCAATAAGAAGAGGACGTCTAGTTCTGCTGTGTCATAGTTGTGAGTAATGTGTGCCCAAAGAAATTTGTCTTTTGTTTCCAGTGAAAGGGGGATACTCCTCAGTCTGCTCTGTCACTCTGGAGTCTTCATATCTTGCTTTGGGGTTTGTCCCAGTATCCACATATGCTCCTCCTGAAACAAAGAGGATATTTTGGGTAGTGACTGCTAATTTAAAAAAAAAAAATGTGTTAGGCAGTTTTCCCTGAAACTTCTTTCCTAATTCGGCATGAAGCAGAATTAAATAGTAGAAATGAAGGAATTTATTTCGAGATAGCAAAATAAGAAGGGCAATCGTTTGGTTACACAGCAGACGAGGAGAGGGCCAAGGAATGGATTGAAGGAAATTATCAAGCATGCATGTTGTTTTTAAGTGATACTTGAGACTGGGATGTGAAACAGCTGTGTTGTTGGTTTTTTTTTTTTTCTTGTGCCAACTTTCCTTATTTGATTGATTTTCTCTCTGACAGCCCACTGTGCTGATAAATGTGTCCATGGTCGCTGCATTGCTCCAAACACCTGTCAGTGTGAGCCTGGCTGGGGTGGAACCAACTGCTCCAGTGGTAAGTTCCCACCTGTTCTTGTCTGTCTCTGCGTGTTTTTGCTGTATGGGTTCCCTTGTCTGCAGATGAGCCTGAGCCACGGGTTTCGGTCTTGTTCCCTATAAGAATATAGTTGGTTTCCTAATCCAGTTCCTAAAGATGGTTTCTTTTAAATCCATATATGTATCATATTCAGAACTGTTTTTAATTGAGGAGAAAGAAAAGTACTTAGAAAGAAAGAGACTTCAATAGTCTGATGTTGATACATCTGTAAATAGGAATAAGTTTCCCAGAGTAGGGTCTAGAATTAGGCTCCTTCGTCGGGTCAGGCAGTTTTGTGGTAACATAACTACTATATCCTAACTGATGTTTTTACATGATGATTTATCTAGAATTCTTCCTTGGTGATTAAAATTTACCACCTGTTGGCTTTAACTCAGAAGTAAAATTGATATTTTCAATGCTTGATTTTTTTTTTAAATTTACTTCTGAATTCTGAGATGTCAATAATGAATTCTCAGAAGATGTTGGGGAGAAATATTGGTCATAACTGAAAATTCATGAACATTTTGGTATGAAATCAAATTGTATAGTGGAAGGGGAGGAGGGTGGGGGGAGGGGGTGACTGGGTGGCGGACACTGAGGGGGGCACTTGACAGGATGAGCACTGGGTTTATGCTATATGTTGGCAAATAGAACTCCAATTAAAAAATATACAAAAAACCCCAAATTGTAATATGGTATATAATTTGTCTTCATTATGTTAGAATTACAATTCTAACATGTGAATTGTAATTCTAATAACAATAGAATTGTAATTCTAACATAATGATATTTTGGACTATAAAGAGCTTGCACTTAAAACCTCATATTCTTTATTAAGAAGATTAGGCAATGGAATGTCCTGTAATTCAGTTGCTTTTCTAAATTTCACAGTTAAAACTTAAGTTTTCTGGCTAACGCATTGCCTTGCGTGTAATTGTGGATACTTCCTGTTTCTTCGTACTGCTTTTTGCTTTGAAAAAATGTGAGGGGCGGGGGGAATCAAAGCCTAATAATTCTAATACATGAAATGTTACATTTAGAGAAAGGAAATCATAGCTTTAAAAATTAGCAGGATCTCATGACAACACAAATTCATTCTTGTTTCTACGGCACAATTTTCCAGAGCTAGTCTGAAGGGGTTTCAACCCATCTAGATAAACTGGTTTTAGGAATTCTTACTTGCTTAAATTTGGAATCGGGAGATTACTGTGTTTCTGGTAAGAACTACTTGTTATAGGCTTGTGATCTCTTGGCTGTCCCTAAAACAGCATCTCTAGGGGTAGTTCTTGTGCTGCCTATGCACAGAACATTCTGTGTGAAAGAGCCTTTTTATTATGTCTTAAACAGGGAGTGTGTGTGTATGTGTGTGTCTTTCTGCCCTGAAAGGCTTCCAATTCCAATGGATAACTGTCTTGCAGGATTTTGTTTTGCTTCTGCTGGAGATCAGGAGGAGAGTGGGCATTTTGTTCACATGCCATGGAGACAAAATGTTTGGGATGTGGGATTTGGCTCACAGCCATTTTTCTGGCCGACTGACCTCAAATGCAGTGTCGCTTTCATTAACTTTTCCAGCTTAAAAATCAGTTGTGCCTACACATTTTGAAGAAAAATAACATTATTCTGTAAACTAGTGGGAATGAAAAGAGTAGATGTATTCTGTGTTTGAAAAGTGAGATTTGTTTCTACGCCAGGGCAAGTATGCTGTGGGATAGAGTAGTTGCAACCGTATTCATAATTGCTGTCCTAAGGACTGCAGCCCGCCTCGAGCTAAGGGGTCAGACTTGAGTGTCTGTGTGAACAAAACAAAAGGCTACATGAGTTTCAGCCTCTCCAGAACTGATTCAGGCATTCTAGAAAACACACTGTTGGTTTATTTTGGAGTTTAGGCTTTCTAGAAAATAACTTGTTGCTTGCTTTTGGACTTGACTAATTTTTGAATGAAGTCTCTAGCATCCTGAGGATACATGTTCTTTCCATCTAGAATATAATATGATGCCATCTTTTGTCTCTTCTTTACAACTCCTGTTTTGGCTCTATAATGACCAGAAGCATAAATAAACACAGACACCTGAGGTCTTTAAAGATGCTCTGAGAAAAACATTTCTGATACCGTGTTTAAACACATGAGAATATACTGTTCTGAGCTGGAGCACTGGGTATTGTTACTTGAGTTTTGTCTGTAGCAGTTCCTCTAATAACACTTGTCAGAAGGTATGTAATTTAATTACTCTAAGCCAAATAATTCTTGAAATAAAATGCATGCTTCAGTAATCTACTAGGTAGCACAGTTCAGATGACCTCATTTCAGGGCACCTGGGTGGCTCAGTCGGTTAAGTGTCTGACTCTTGATTTTGGCTTGGGTCCTGATCTTAGGGTCCTGGATTCGAGCCTGTGTCAGAGTCCGTGCTCAGTGGGGCATCTGCTTGAAATTCTCTCCCTCCCTCTGCTCCTCCCCCCCACTCACATGCTCGCTCTCTATCTCTCTAAAATACATAAATCTTTAAAAAAATAAATGACCTCATTTCCAAGGATTCTATTTCTGTGTTCCCTCCCTCTCTGGTTATGGCTATGAATACCTGGGTGATGTTTGTTAGGTCCATAGATAATTGCCTTGATAATAAGAGTAGGGTCTTGTATCAGGGTCCCATCAGGAGACAGAAACCACAATAAATCTTTTATAGAGCAAACTTTTTATTTTGAAACCATTTTAGATTTATAGAAGAGTTGCAAAGATAGTAGAGAGTTACCATATACCCACATCTAGTTTTCCCCTTGTTAACATCTTACTATTAGCTTGTCAATCTGAAAAACTGACATTAGTACATTACTATTAATTAAACCTAAGACTTTGGATTTCATGTTTTTTTCCATTAATGTCCTGTATTTGTTCCAGAATCCAATTCAGGCCACCATATTGCATTTCATTGTCATGTCTGCCCAGTCTCCTATGGTGGAATTGTCTATGACAATTTCCACCTTTGGCTTTTTCTAATCTTGACAGTCTTGAGGCGTGCTGGCCAATTATCCTGTAGAATGTCCCCTTGTCTATGTTTGTCTAGTGTTTTTTCTCATGATTAGACTAGGGTTATGGGTTTTGAAAAGAATACCACAAAGTTGAAATGCCCTGCTTAACACATCATAGCATGGGTATCATTAAAGTTCATATAACATCACTGATGATGTCCTCACTCACTTAACCTTCATCATTTGCTGGTGTACAGTGTATACCATGTTTCTCCACATAAAGTTGCTATTTTCCCTTTTCCTAGTCTATTCTTTGGAAGCAAGGCTAAGTCTAGCCTACCCTCAAGTGTGACAGGCAGGTATTAAGTTCATGTCTTTGGGGAGGAGTACCTAGTATGCTATTTGGAATTCTTCAGTAAGGAAGATTTGTCTTTCCCTACTTATTCTGCATTGTGTCAGTATGGACCTGTATATGAAAATTTGGGTTCTAAGCCAATATTGTGTTATTTTGTTGTTCAAATTTTTCCTGCTTTGGAGATAGGGAATTATTTTAGGTTACTCCTGTGTCCTTTTGACCCACCCTCATTCTTTTTTTGTTTGTTGAACACTTATTTCCTTACTGATACTATAGGATACACTAAGGCCATTTTGTGTTTTCCTGTCTCAGCCCTAGACTGCCATTGGAGAATGGCATTTGGAAAGCAGAATCTTGATGCCAGATCTGTTCATTGCTCCTGGGACACAGAGTAGCTTGGACAGGGAAAGTTTATTAAAAATTATTAACTGTAACAGGGGATTGGAGTAGTGAAAAATGGTTAGTAGAATTAATAGCACTTGAAAGAACACAGGAAAAGCAGATTTAAGGAGCTGCCACTACTTCCAGGGCTGAGGTGGGATGCCCAAAAGGAATCCTCACTAGGGCTGTGATCCAGACGTTGTTAGTAAGGGCATACCACAGCTCACTGAATGGTGAGATATTGCATAGTACTACTCTAGCAGAGCTTGATGGACATCTTCCCTCTGGAACTTGCTAGAAATCTGCCCTCTAGGATATTTGGGAAAGCTGTTCATGGAGCAGTATCTTACCAGAAGTACTCTGCTACAAAAAAAGCCCCGGAGGGTTTCCAGGGGAAGTTGCTGGCTGATGAGAGCCTCTACTATTTGGTGCCTGCTAGAATAGTTGCTGAGCGCTGCGAAGCTGCCCATGGCACCAGAGACAGGAACTGGGATGAAGAAGCTGGTTATGTTGCAGAAACTGGGCCCTGTGCAAGACCTAAGTGCCACACAGCTGGATGCTTGCATGGTAGGAGCTGGGGCTAGAGAAGCCCTTCTACCCTGCAGGAGTCCCTTGAGCTTGCACCTTGAAACTACCATGGAGAACTTTGCTGCAACTTCGTTGTTTGTTGACCCTATAGTGTCTCTTGACTTTCAGACGTAGTTCTGCTTTTTCCTGTTGTGTAGGAGCAGCCCACTTTCTGCCTGATAATCAGGACCATTTACTCCAGCCACAAGAGTAACTCCTTTTATTTACATTAAGAGCCTAAAATGAGCAGGTGGCAATAAATCAATAACTGTCACACACACAGCCATCTCTCTGTTTTTTTTTTCTTTCCTAATATGCATGGGAGAATAAGGGACTAACAGGGGGCCGCATGTTTCCAGGTTTACAAAGACTTCCCTTGGAGGTTTGATTTGGCTGTTTACCTTGTCCATGGAGGGAAGGATTCCTCTGCTTGATATACAGTCAGGCTTCCTGGTTCTCAATGTATTCTCTGTATAAAAAAACCAGGTGTGTCAGAGGACTGTACAAAGTTTGTTCTCCTGGAGCGAAATCATGATTTATTTGACTAAACTCAGACATATTGCTTCTTTTTAAATTTGATTAAATGATTTTTTTAAAAAAAACCCATACTCATATTTTACTTATATTGGCAGCCTAATGCATACCCTAGCCTATATGACATTAATCTAGCCTCCCTCCGTCTCTCTCTGCCCTCCTCTTCCCCGCTCTC